TGTTAACCAGAAGGATGGTGGTTCGAGCCCACCCAGGGACGGCCTGCTTGATGGCGTGATTCAAAGATAAAGGCGATGGATTGAGTGCTGCATCCAGTTTTTCCTCTGGAGGCTTCAGTTCTCAGTCCTTTTTCTCACTAAATATTCGGCCATCTTCCGCATATTTTTTACCTTCTAGAGGGCAGATGGAAGAACAAGGCAGACTTGTTCACAATCAGCGAGTAAGGCGAAAGGGAGAGGAATCGCCCGGCGTGTCCTCAGCTGCTTCCTTGCAACAGAGAAGCGCTGGAGTGGCTCAAGGCAGCCTGCAGCGGTCCTCGGTGGGAGCTCTCCAGGGTCCTGAAACAGCTGCCTGTGGCAAAGATTATTAGGCCACCTTACTTGTAGGATGGCAAAAGGGAGGAGGAGGAGGAGAACAGCTGAAAATCACATCTGACTCACAACTTAAAAAGTTACCATTAATGCCTTCTCAGTGTCTGGGCAGTTGCTGAAATCGTTTGCCTACCAAGTAAAATAGGCAGCTGGGTTGAGAAGCAGAAGCATTAAACATAAGAGCAATGATGGCGAACCTTTTAGAGACCGAGTGCCCAAACTGCAACCCAAAACCCACTTATGCATTGTCGGGTGCCGGGTGGGTGTGGCCCATTGGGTGGGCATGGCTGCGGTGGTAACAGCAGACTGGGTGGGACTAAAAAGTTCAATCAATCAATTCCAACTTTGCAAGATCTTTTTTTTTCCCTGCAAGAAGTTGAAATTGACTGATTGATTGAACCTTTTTTTGAAGGCCTAGGACTGGGGTTATGGCACGCGTGTCCACAGAGAGAGTTCTGAGTGCCACCTCTGGCACCCGTGCCATAGGTTCGCCACCACTAACATAGAGGGTCTTTGGCACTCGAGGCCAAGAGATGTTAAACGCACAACAAAACGTGGTTGATTGTACGGTTGCCAGCATGGAAAAACGAAAAGTGCTTGGACACATTTTTAACCAGCTGGCAGCCATCTCTTAGAAAAAAAATATTCTCCTCTGGTCTCTTCTGGTGTGGGGACTGAAGGCAGAGCCTGCATCTCTGGGGCAAAGGATGCTTCTGTTGCATCAATCTGGCAGTTTACAGTGTGACGCTCCCCCTGTAGCCCTATAGGGGATGGGGGGGGAGCCATTCTGTTCTGCATCAGCTGTTACATCCAAGGGAGTCGAGGGGGAGGCCTCTGCCTGTCTCTGTGGCGCAAGCGGTTAGCGCGTCTGGCTGTTAACCAGAAGGTTGGTGGTTCGAGCCCACCCAGGGACGGCCGTGGGTGCCCCGCCCCTTTGACGAGGTGGCCGAGTGGTGAAGGTGATGGACTGCTAATCCATTGTGCTCTGCATGCGTGGGTTCGAATCCCACCCTCGTCGGCACCTTTTCCTTCTGGTTGCAGGATTTGGGGTGAAAGGATTAGTTTTTGTTGATCCCTCCAGTTCTATCTTAGGCTATTTTCAGAATTTCTTTTTTTGACAAGACACATAACATCACCATCCAAACTAATCTCTGTTGTGAATATTTTGGGGGTTTTTCCCCCTAGTATTTTTCACAGACAACTATCCTTTGGGTTTCCAGCACCAGGGAAGGATAACTGCCAGACTGAATTAAGGAACCAAATCACGTTTATATATCTGGCAATATGCTACATACATTGACCAGGAAGCCCCCCCCTCCCCAGTTAGTCTTATTAGTCATTAATGATCTCGCCTGAATATTTATTTTTAATTCTGTTTCGTAACAGATTTCTAAACCACCTCTGGATTTTCTGCAGAGTGATTGTATTAAAAAAAGAAAAAGACCTCTACAGGTGGTCCTCAACTTACGATCACAACTGAGCCCAAGGTTTCTGTGGTTAAGCAAGAGAAATGAGTTTTGTCCCATTTTACAATGTTTCTTCCCACAATTGTTAAGTGACTCACTGACATTGTTAAGTTAGTTGGTTATTAAAAGAATATGGCTTCCCTATTTGGTTGTCAGACGGCCACAAAAAAGTGATCATGTCACCCCAGGACACTGCAACTGTCATAAATATGGGCCAGTTGTCTTAATTCTGATCACCTGACCCTGGGAATGTGGCAACGGTGGTAAAGGTGAAAAAATGTTCGTAAGTTGTTTTTTTTTCAGCGCTGTTGTAACTTCGAATGATTACTAAATGAAGGGTTATAAGTTGAGGACTATCCGTACAGAAATGAAGTAATAACAATAAACAAATAAAACTCTGCCTCCCAGCTCATGGGTGGTGGAGCATGAGGAAGTCCCCTGCCGAGAGCCCGCTCATTCCCAGCTCTGTTCTTTGAGGCAGCTTAACAGCTCAGGGCGGGATGATGGTCTTGACAGGTGACAGGTCATGAATGATGCAACCTAGAACTAAGGAGAAATTTCCTGACAGTTAGAACAATTAATCAGTGGAACAACCTGCCCGCAGAAGTTGTGAATGCTCCAGCACTGGAAATATTAAGAAGAGATTGGACAACCATTTGTCCAAAATGGTATAGGGCAGGGGTAGGCAACCCTGGCTCTTTTATGACTCGTGGACTTCAACTCCCAGAATTCCTGAGCCAGCATGGCTCAGCTTGGAAACTCTCCCTTTCCCTTCAGCATGGCTGGCTCAGGAATTATGGGAGTTGAAGTCCAGGAGTCATAAAAGAGCCAAGGTTGCCTACCCCTGGTACAGGGTTTCCTGCCTAAGCAAGGGGTTGGACTAGATGACCTCCAAGGTCCCTTCCAAATCTTCTAATCTATTCTGATGGTTCTCTCCTTTGCTGCTTCAGTGAAACTACAGCACAGGACTGTATTGTTGTTGTTAGTTGCGAAGTTGTGTCCGACCCATCTTGACCCCATGGACACTGTTCCTCCAGGCCTTCCTGTCTTCTACCATCTTCTGGAGTCCATTTAAGCTCACGCCTACTGCTTCAGGGACTCCACCCAGCCACCTTCTTCTCTGTCATCCCCAAATGGCAAATGGAGAAGAAAAATTGCGCAACAGTGGTAGATGAATCCCAAACCATAGTCCTTACTATCACATTGTTAGGAGGGCAGCTTTCGTGCTCTCCAGATGGTGCAGCTTCGGCTGACTTGACTTTTGGGACCCACCCCGTGAGTGTTCTTGATGGCCAACTTCTAGGTGGCCAAGATTTGTCCTTAACATCTTGGGGTGGGTGGATGGAAACCACGCTGCATGGGGCAACAATGCGCCCACACGACCTGCACACAAATACGAAACTAGGATTTCCGGTGATTTTTATTTCCTCTGCATGGTTTGTTTGGACTAAATCAAGCCAATCCAGCAGTTATTTGAGTGGTGGAGTTATCCAGCCAGAGTGAGGGGTGGATTAAAGACACAAGTGGACTTGGAATTTATCCAAGGAAGGAAGCAGCAAAGGCCATACCCTCCTGAAAATCTCTGAAGGCTTTATCTTCCTGTTCCCAACAGAATGCAGCCAGTCTGGCAAGACTGTTGTAACAAACACAAAGTAACAACAAAGAAACAACTCTGATCAGTTCAGGGTATACAAGTAGTCCTCAAGTTATAACAGTTGGGATCAGAATTTCTCTTGCTAAGCAAGGTGGTTGACTCATGACTCATTTTAATACCACTTTACAAGGCCTTGGTAAGGCCACACTTGGAATACGGCATCCAGTTTTGGTCACCGCGATGTAAAAAAGATGCTGAGATTCTAGAAAGAGTACAGAGAAGAGCAACAAAGATGATTAGGGGACCAGAGGCTAAAACATAGAAGGAACGGCTGCTGGAATTGGGTATGTCTAGTCTAGTAAAGAGAAGGGTGAAGGGGGACAGGATAGCAGTGTTCCAGTATCTCAAGGGCTGCCCCAAAGAAGACGGAGTGAAGCTATTTTCCAAGGCGCCTGAAGGCAGGACAAGAAGCAACAGATGGAAACTAATCAAGGAGAGAAGCAACCTAGAACTAAGGAGAAACTTCCTGACAGTTAGAACAATTAACCAGTGGAACAACCTGCCTCCAGAAGCGGTGAATGCTCCAACAATGGAAGTTTTTAAGAAGAGATTGGACAGCCATTTGTCTAAAATGGTATAGGCTAGGGGTACACTGTGACAATTGTCAGTGCAAAGGCTGGTCTTTTATCAGTGCTGGTGTAACGTTCTTTTTTGTATTTATTTTCGTTTACCCACAAGAATAAAATACAAAGCAGAAAAACAAACATCCAACATTAACAAAGAAAAAAAAGAGAGAAAAATTATTTGTGTACAAAAGAAAGGGGAAAAAAACAATTCCCAAATGTCAAATATATCTAACTTTAAACATAAAGAATCCACCCTGGTCGGCTGCTGAAAAATATAGTTTTCAACTTAACAACAGTTCATTTAGTGACCATTCAAAGTTGCAATGGCACTAAAATGTGACTTATGACCGTTTTTCATAGTTACGACCTTTGCAACATTCCCCAGGATGATGTGATCAAAATTCAGACGCTTGGTAACTGGTTCATATTGACGACCGTTGCTGTCATGTGGTCCTCTTTTTATGACCTTCTGACAAATTCAAGGGGGTAGCCAGATTCACTTAACAACCAGGCTACTAACTCATCCACTGCAGTGATTCACTTAACAACTGAGGCAAGAAAGGTCATAAAACAGGACAAAATTCCCTTAACAAATGTCTCACTTAACAAGAGAAATTTTGGACTCAATTTTTGACTACCTGTATATTTAAAAAAAAAGCTGATAGGTTCTTCTTCCCTTGCATAACAGGTCTACAAATAATTATGAACTTTCCCATCCTTATTCAATGAAAGTACTGCATTAAATAAACAGATATTCCAGATGAAAGAATCTTTCTATCTAATAATCAAACAGAACCAACATCTAATGGGCTGTTCTAACTTTCAACAGGCTAAACCAGGGGTAGGCCACCTTGGCTCTTTTATGACTCGTGGACTTCAACTCCCAGAATTCCTGAGCCAGTATGGCTCAGCTTGGAAACCTCTCCCTTTTCCCTCAGCATGGCTGGCTCAGGAATTCTGGGAGTTGAAGTCCACGAGTCATAAAAGAGCCACGGTGGCCTGCCCCTGGGCCAAACAAATGGTTGTAAGTTGAGACCTATCTGCACTTATTTTTTAAACTGAAAGTTAACCATTGATCTATATTTGGTGTGAGACATGCAAGCTCCAGTAAGAGAATAAGCAATTGGGTGTAAGTATCCCCAATTCCAGTGCTGACATATGTATCGACTCTGAAAAGCCACAGAGGCAAAACTATTTTAACTAACCTTTTCCCCTCACCTTCAATTATGGATTGCCTGGATCACGTGGCCATGGGGATGTTGCAACGGTGTGAAAAACGGACATAAGTGTCATGCCTCCCTCTGAGCCTGAATCTGCGGAGGAAAATGAGCTGGAACGGGACCCTATGGAGGTCGAGGGAGAGGTGTCTGTGGCTTCAGAAGAATGTGGGGAAGAGCAGGCCGAGGCAAGCCAGGGCCCTTCAGGATTAGGACAGGAGGAACAGGAGAGGCAGAGTTCAGGCGATAAGCAAGGGCCACCACCACCTGATCCTAGAGCACAGAGAGTGGAGAGAAGGAGGGAACAACTGCAGGCAGTCTCAATTACTGGGAGGAGAGCGTCCCGCCCTTCTCCACAAGGAACACCTGGAGATTGAGATTTAAGGTGACGCTGTGGGGAGGGGCATTTGTCAGGAACAAATACTGATTCTTGGAGTATTGTGTATTGTTGCTGATTTCTTGTTCTGTGACTTCTGTTTGGAAACCTGGAAACCTGAACTATTGGATTGACTGACCACATTACTTGTATGTTTAAAGACCTTGGACTGTATTTCAGATTCTCTCTTTTGAAAACTGCTCAGGCAAGCAAGGATTCAAACAGACTCCTTGAGTTTATGTTTTCTTCCTTGTTATCTCTATGGCCTTGAGTACTTTTTTATGCTAATCAGACTGTATTTGAACCTATTTTCAGCCAGAGTCAGCTAAAGGTGTGTGTGCGTGTGTTCTTTTGTTGGAGTCTTGCCAGCAAAAGTGGGAGCATTTAGGGAAAATTTGGAGCAATAAAAGAACTGTTTGAATTGCCAGCTGACTGCATTGCCTCTGTGCTGTCCCCTGGGTCATCACAATAAGTCACTTTTTTCAGTGCTGTTGTAACTACGAATGGTCACTAAACGCATTGTTTTCAGTCGAGGACTACTTGTATGCCTATGATCTCTCTCCCAGCTTTGCTCCCTGATGGGTATTGAGATCTGATCTTCCCTCTAAGTGATTCTCACTGCTTGAGCTCCTGTATGGATTGTCTCCAGTGTGAATGCGTTCATGTGTCATCAAGCCGGACTTCTGACAAAAGGTTTTCCCGCAGCGGGCGCACTGATACGGTTTCACTCCAGTGTGAATTCGCTCGTGGGTGATGAGGTTTGACCCATCGGTGAAGCTCTTGAGGCACACAGAGCACTGATATGGTTTCACTCCGGTGTGGATTCTTTCGTGAACCCTCAGGACCGCAGTAGTGCGGAAATTCTTCCCACAGCTGGAACACCTGTAGGGCTTCTCCCCAAGGTGGATTTTTTCATGGATGCTAAGGGTTCCCTTCTGACGGAAAGCCTTCCCGCATGTCAAGCATTTGAAAGGCTTCTCGTCCCTGTGGATTTTTTCGTGGACGGTGAGAGTCCCCTTTTGCCGGAAGCTCTTCTCGCAATACGTGCATCGGTACGGCTTCTCTCCTGTGTGGATCCTCTTGTGGGTGATGAGGCTGGAGCTGCTGGTAAAGGTTTTCTGGCAGGTGGAACACCGAAAGGGAACCTCGCCGGTATGGATTCTCCTGTGGGCCTTTATTTGGGCAGATTTACGAAAAGCGACGCCGCATTCTGTACACGTGTATGGCTTCTCTCCAGTGTGAATTCTTTCGTGAACCCGAAAACTAGAGCTCCGCTGGAAACGTTTTCCACAGTGGCACTGGTGGATTTTATGGCCGGTCCCGGCTTCTTCTGGATCAGAATCACTTTTACCAACAGAAACAACGTTGTCCAAACTTCTTTTTGGGGAATTCCATTCTGTTTCTGAATCCTCCTGGTTCTTAGGCCTCACTTCCTCCTTGCAACGCTGGGAGGGTATGTTGTCTCTTTTTAGTATCTCATTTTCCAGTTCCTCAGAAATGCCCTGATGAAGATGGTTGTCTTGGTTCATCAGTCTGCAATGGCCACCTTGAGGAAGGAAGAAGATCAAAAGTCTTCAGATAAAGCTCAGGTGACATTCTAGGTCAGGGGTAGGCAACCTCGGCTCTTTTATGACTCATGGACTTCAACTCCCAGAATTCCTAAGTCAGCATAGCATAGCTGACTCAGGAATTCTGGGAGTTGAAGTCCATGAGTCATAAAAGAGCCGAGGTTGCCTACCCGTTCTAGGTCAAAATTCTGCAGGATGAAGGATTCTTCTACAGCAGGGGTGTCAAACTCAATTTCACTGAGGGCTGCATCAGCATTGCAGTTGCCCTTGGGGGGGCTGGGTGGGTGTGGCCAGAGTGGGTGCAGCCTACTGGGTGGACGTGGATGGAGTGGGTGTGGCCTACGGGTGAGCATGGCCAGTTCTACATCATTTGCATCAAGGGTGCCTGTGGGGGCCTGGGCAGGAGTAGGACAGATTTGTGGATCTCTGGCAGAAGGGGGTGGGACCGGGGCAAGTGCCAAGGCATGGTCCACCAGGGCAAGTGCCAAGATGGCCACCACAAAATTGTACATTGGCTCCCGGCTGGCCTGGGTCAGGGCCAAGGCAACGGGGGGCCGTTCCGTCACTGTTTCCAGGATGGCTTCGCGGGCCACATGAAACCACTTCGGGGCCACATCCGGCCCCTGGGCCTTGTGTTTGACATGTCTGTTCTACAGAGTTCACAAACACTTGCTTTTACCACTGCATTAGTCGCGATTCCTTGCTACTGGATTTTATGTAACGTTCCTTAATCTTGTTTAAACATAAGCCTCTTTGAATGTTTACTCACAGGGCATGTATGCTTTTAGGTATCAAATACTTTGTGGCTATTTGGGCTACTCTACTACAAATTTCATGTTGGGGTTTATGTGACACAACCACTCTGTTTTTAAAAAAGAAAGAAAATCTGCACATTCCTGACTTAATAAATCATGGAGAAAGTAAACTTCAACAGCTTCTCCACTTCACAATATATATATATATATATATTGGTGTAAGGAACATTTTGGAGAGGACAATTAATCACTGTCACATGGATTGTTTTTCATCAGAACAAGAGTCCATCTAGCTTGACTCAGATTTGCCCCCTAGATGAGCAGAAAGCTGTAGGTTAAAAAAAAAAAAGACACAAATGCAAACTCTCATTCTATTTCTGGAGCACATTTGTCTTCCTACCTTGTGCAGGATTCAAACCTGATTCCCTCACATCTACAGAATTATACCCAGTGGTGGGATTCAGCCAGTTTGCACCACTTCGGCAGAACCGATAGCTAATTTTTTGCTGCCCAGGCCCAGAATGGACTTTTGGAAGCGGCATCGCACACAGAGAACCGGTTGTTCATATATTTGAATCTCACCACTGATTACACCGCTAGGATCGATGCTAGATTAGAAACTCTTGTTCGGATGATAAAGATCGAAGGTGAAATATTCAACAACTCGGGCTGATCAAATGCAGCTCACCCTTACCAAATGAACTCAGGTCTTTGTCAATCTCCAGCTTCATGTCGTCGGACAGTTGCCATCCCCATGAACCTAATGGTGGAAATGGGTTTCCCTGGGAAGGCTCCTTAATTGCCCCCATCTCCAAAGTACCTGGACTCTGAAACAACACACACACAAAATTATTCAGTGGAACAAAATTCATCCATCAGCTATGACGGGAATAGGCAAGCTACACAGGTCAGTCTTCCCATCTTTCTCTCAATGTGGGGGGGGAGATGAAAACAATTTCCCCTTCAGTTACTCTTAATGGAAGCAGGAGACCAGAGAGCAATGGAGAAATAGACTTGGAACAGGAGTCTTCAAATTTGGTCCTTTTATGACTTGTGGACTTCAACTCCCAGAATTCCTCAGCCAGTGTGCCTGGCTGAGGAATTCTGGCAGTTGAAGTCCACAAGTCATAAAAGGGCCAAGTTTGAAGACCCCTGACTTAGAAGGTACCATTCATCTTCAAAGCTTTGTTCCTTAATTTGATCAAGTATGTCAACAAATTGGAACTAGAGAACCTCTGTTCTCGAACATTGCCTTAGATCAAGGGTTGGCAACCTTGGCTCTTTTATGCCTTGTGGACTTCAACTCCCAGAATTCCTGAGCCAGCATGGCTCAGCTTGGAAACCTCTCCCTTTCCCTCAGCATGGCTAGTTCAGGAATTCTGGGAGTTGAAGTCCACGAGTCATAAAAGAGCCAAGGTTGCCTACCCCTGCCCTATACCATTTCAGAGAAGTGACTGTCTAGGACAGGGGTCTTCAGACTTGGCTCTTTTATGACTCGTGGACTTCCACTCCCAGAATTCCTGAGCCAGCCATGCTGAGGGGAAAGGGAGAGGTTTCTAAGCTGAACCATGCTGGCTCAGGAATTCTGGGAGTTGAAGTCCATGAGTTATAAAAGAGCCAAGGTGGCCTAGCCCTGCCTTAAATATTGGGTACCTTCCGACCACCAAGCTGTATTTTCCTGAAAAAGCAGAGAATGGAAAATGCATTGAACTCCCATTCTGCTCCATCTTCTGGAGAACCAGTTGAAGCACCACCACCAGAGACTTCACCTCTTCCTCCTGTTTCACTGAGCTCCGCTTCAACAGAAACTCTTCAGCCAAGAGCACAGCCCCAGTGCAAGTCTCAGGGCCGTGAGCCCTGACCCAGCTCTGCATCTCCGGAGGCAGGACAGTCAGGAACTGCTCCAGGATCAGCAGTTCCAGGATCTCCTCCTTGGAGCACCTCTCAGCTTTCAACCACTGCCAGCAAAGTTCCTGCAGATGCCTGTAGACAGCCCGGGGCCCCTCTGTCTCCTGGTAGCAAAACTGACGGAAGTCCTGGCGCTGCCTCTCCCTGGCCAGGACCTCCCCTCTCAAGATGGCTGCCTTCACCTTCCCATAGTCTCCTCTGTCTTGGCCACTAAGGCTGTTGAAGGCCTCTTCTGCTTCTCGTCTGAATCCTGGCACAAGAAGAGTCACCCATTGGTCCTGGGGCCATTTGCAGGCAGATGCAACTTGTTCAAAGGAAGTTAGGAAGGCCTTCATGTTGACCCAGGGCGTGGGCTCCTCTATTGTCTGAGCATGGGCCCTCTCAGAGCGAGGACCCTGCAGGCTCCTGAGGAACTCCTGCCACTGGACTTCCCAGCATTCTTGCAATCCCGCTTCAGGTTTGCATTTCATCTGCTGGAGAGGAGCCAGGCCAGAGGGGGTTTTCATTGCCTCCAGGTCTGACCAGAGTTTGACCAGGGAAGCACTTTGTTTCTCCTTCTTCAGCTCTGGGTCCTCCACCGTCTCTTCATCCATGGACATGTTCACCTGCACACTCAGGGTCTCCATCACTTAATCCTTCCTTACTACCAGTCCGTGAATCTTTTGCTAAAATCAGCTTTCTAGTCGGCTGCAAACTGGCCTCTCCTGCAATGAAAAAAATAGATATGTAAAAGCACATTTAGAAAGTCATTCTGCCTCAAAGCTAAATTGATATATTTCTAGACTAGAGTATTGCTGGCCTTCTAGATTTCTTGATTCAAAGACATTTTAGATTCACACCCGTTCCATCCTCTGAATGGTACAGATCAAAGAGTTAACATCATCTTAAATTTAAAACACAACCAAGTATGTTTTTTCCCCTACGTTGCTCACATATGTTAGCAAAGCTCCTGATCAGGGTTTGGGGGTTTTTTTGGGGGGGGGTTGTTGTAAGTTACCCAGAGTTGTTTGACACAAGATGGTGGCAAATAAATTTAATAATAAAAATTAAAATAAATAAATAAAAGAAGAAACTTTGTTCCAGCAGGTTGGCCAAAGAAGAAAATGTTTGTTTGTTTGTTTGTTTGTTTGTTTTACAGAATCTAGATTTTGCAAGCTAGGATGTGAACTATGATTGGGTATGGAAGGGAGATTAAACAGACAGACAGACAGACAGATATGAATGGACGACAGATAGATGATAGATAGATAGATAGATAGATAGATAGATAGATAGATAGATAGATGATAGATAGATGATAGATAGATAGATATGAATGGATGACAGATGATAAAGAGATAGATAGATAGATAGATAGATAGATAGATAGATAGATAGATAGATAGATATGAATGGATAACAGACAGACAGATAGATAGATATGAATAGATGATAGATAGATAGATAGCTGGATAGATAGATAGATATAGATAGATATGAATGGACGACAGACAGACAGATAGATATGAATAGATGATATATAGACAGACAGACAGACAGACAGATATGAATGGACGACAGACAGACAGATATGAATGGACAACAGATAGATATGAATGGATGACAGATGATAGATAGATAGATAGATAGATAGATAGATAGATAGATAGATAGATAGATAGATAGATAGATAGATAGATAGATAGATAGATAGCCAGTCAGATATGAATGGACGACAGATGATAGATAGATAGATAGATAGATAGATAGATAGATAGATAGATAGATAGATAGATAGATAGATAGATAGATAGATAGATATGAATAGATGATAGACAAACAGGCAGACAGATAAATATGAATGAACGATAGACAGACAGACAGACAGACAGATAAAGGTTTCACTCCGGCCAAAACAACAAGGCCACCTATCTTTCTCGCCAGTTACAGAAACTGACCGCGTTCCGTTCAGAAGTTGGCTAACCAACAACCTCCAGTGCCTTCCGCTGCAAAAGCTCGACTTTTGCGTGTCTTCGCGTGCAGACGACGCCGGGGACGACACGAAGGTTTCGAAAGGCGTTGCTGCACTCTCGTATTCGGCAACAGCTTGGAAGACACCGGCGCAATTCCCTTCTCTCTCGCAACTTAGCTCATCTTTCCCTCCAGCGGGCGCGAAGGGCTCCCGTCCTCGCCCCACAGTTAGGAAAAACGGACCCCCCCAGACCTGTTGCTTCCTCCAGAGGAGAAACCGGAGGACCCGAAGAAGCCGGGAATCGCAGCAAAGGTGCGTGAAGTGGGAGGGAGAAGGCGGCGGTGCACGCCGAACACTCATTTCCGGTTCTGATTCGAATTCTTTTTCGGCGGGAGCATCCTTCCTACGCCTCGGCGAGCATTGCCACTCAGACACCCGACTGGGAATCCGAAGTATAAGTTCAGCCTTACTCTAAATTGAACTGGTGCCTCTTGGGTGGTAGTGGTGGTGAAGCCATCCTCATCCTTCCGAAGTCGAGATCTCTATGGTTTTAACCCTTGCCGTTGACACGGCTGCCTCCCACTTTAGGATTTCGCCTGTTCTCCAGTCCCTCTGAGCAGTTTGCAAGGGTGATCACGGATCGGTTTCAAACCAGCAACTTTAACGGAAGGAGAAAAATGATGGGAAAACGAAGGTCTCACCTTCTGGGTCTCCCACCATAGTTCAGGATTTTCCACTACTACACCCATCCTTAAATGGTTTTTTTAAAAAAGAAAATAGACAAGATCAAGAATAGATATGTCCTTAAGTGCCATCTTCATAGACGCAGGCAATCATAGAATCCTAAGATTGGAGAAGACCTCAGAGGTCTTCTGGACAACTGCTGCTCAGGGCAGGAAGCCTCAGACCATCCCTGACAAATGGCTGTCCAACTGTTGCTTGGAAACCTCTAGTGATGAGCCACCACAACTTCAGGAGGCATGCTGTTTCATTGCTTAACAGCTCTCATTGTCAGGAAATTCCTCCTTAATAAAAGCAGAGACATCACCCTGCCAACAAAAGTATGTACAGTCAAGGCCATGGTTTTCCCAGTTGCAATGTATGGCTGTGAAATCTGGACCATCAAAAAGGCTGAGCGCCAAAGAATTGAGGCCTTTGAACTATGGTGTTGGAGAACACTCCTGCGAGTCCCCTGGACTGCAAGGCGATCAAACCGGTCAGTGCTAGAGGAGATCAACCCCGACTGCTCTTTAGAAGGCCAGATCCTGAAGTTGAAACTCAAGTACTTTGGCCACCTAATGAGAAGGAAGGGCTCACTGGAGGAGAGCCCAATGTTGGGAAAGATTGAGGGCAAAGAGAAGAAGGGGACGACAGAGAATGAGGTGGCTGGATGGAGTCACTGAAGCAGTAGGCGTGAGCTTAAATGGACTCCAGAAGATGGTAGCGGACAGGAAGGCCTGGAGGAACGTTGTCCAGGGGGTCGCGATGGGTCTGACACGACTTCGCAACTAACAACAACAACTGTAAAGTTTCCACCAGTTGGCTACTGTCCCATTCATGGACACCATGGAGAATTAATCCACACCCTCTGCTCTGTGTGACAGCTGTGTGACTCATAATATGTACTGGAAGACTGCTAGTATGACAAAAGGGCTTAAAACAAGAGTAGTCCTCAACTTACAACAGTTCATTTAGTGACCGTTCAAAGTTACAATGGCACTGATTCACTTAACTGTGTTACTCACTTAACAATTGTGGCAAGAAAAGTCATAAAATGGAGCTTAGTTCACTTAACAAACGTTTCACTTAGGAACATAAATTGTGGTCGTAAGTCAAGGATCACCTACAAATAAGACAATTTTAGCAATTTGTCACCTTCTTGTGAAATGCAACCTTTTCATCGCATATCTGATCTCTTATCTGCAAGCCTATATTATTAATTGGAATATATTATTAATTGGATTCCCAAATGCAGCCAGGTTACCAACATTTGAAAAACTAGAAATGGAATTTTAAATATCAAAAGCAGAAATCCTGCATCTTTTCCAGACCATGAAGAAGTCAACTGTATAAGATTTAAAAAAACAACAACACGACCTTAAGAAAAAAAAAATCAAACTGGAAAGGAGACATTCAAGCACATTTTAGTAATCCTCATTTTTCTTATGCTTAACAGAGTCCTGAACCTTAATGGGAGCAATGAGGTGGCCCATAAGGACCTTTTGTTCTGGTGTGCAGAACAAGACGTACTAAGAGAATTGTCAAGTTCTTATTGAACTAAGGAACAAGTATAAGTACCAAACAAAAGGAAAAATAGGAGACATGTGGGAGAGTTTGGTTAGGGAAATTTAAGTTCACATCAAAGATGAAGGATTTCTGCTTTTGATATTCAAATTTAAGCTCTGTTTAGCACAGGGGTGTCAAACTGCCGGCCCATGGGTCGGATGTGTCACGCCGAAACTTCGCCCACTCCATTGATATGTCACGACACGTCACGTGACATTGCGAGTTGACACCCCTAGTTTAGCACCTCCTTCTGTTCATTTCAATCTGTTTGAGCCAGTTTCTCCACACTAGATTGTGAGGCAGCTAAAATGAAGGCAGAGATAAGAAAGGAAAAATGACAGTTGAAATAAGACACTCCTGGAGGGAGGACTGTTTTTGTGGAAATTCCATGAAAAAAAGCCCCAAATCTAGTTCAGCTGAAACTATCCAAAAATGCTTTTGCACAAGGTGGAGGATTTATACTCCTTGCAGATAGCTGGTCATTTGCATTCAGAGCCGTTGAGGCCACCTGGGGATTTATCTGTATCCTCAGGGTCACCCGAGTGGTGCAAATGGGTGTGGAGCCTTCTTGGAACTGCTGGGTTGTAGACTAGAAATAGATGATGTTGGATCCCTCCCCCACCCGTTGAGAGAGAGCTGTTCAATTTTGACAGATGGCCTCTTTGACCGCTCTTTCAAACCAGTGGTCCTCTCTGTCCAAAATGCGGACCCTAAAGACAAAGATAAACCTCCAGGTGGCCTCAATGACTCTCTAAAATAGGGGTGTTAAAACTGATGACCTGCGGGCCAGACACATCATGCACAGGCCACACCGGTTCCGCAAAGGCAAAAAACCCCGGAATGTCACAATATGTCACGTGACGCAATCCGAGTTTGACACCCATGCTGCATAAGAATGCAAATGACCAGCTGTCTGCAAGGAGTATAAATCCTTCCATTCTCCACTCTCCAGTCAGAGCTGAAGAAGCTTCTTGGGCGAGAAGCGAAACGTCTTCAAAGAAAAACAACGAAGTCCAGTCATCTTGTAAGAAAGCATTTTTGGGACAACCATGACCTGGATGACTGAGAATCTCCAGACATTCAACTAGACTAGCTTTCCTCAATGAGATCTCTCTACATGGGGTGAACTATATGGGTAGTTTTCAACTTACGAAACCACAGTTCAAAGTTAAGATGGCTCTGAAAAACATGATTTATGTCTTGTCCTGTGAGTTTTGACCATCATGTCACCCCTGCAGTCACCATTGTGATTTGGGCGCTTGGCAACTGGCTTGGTTTTACTATTTCAGTTGTGGTATCCTACACTCACACAATCACAAGTTACAAACTTCGTAGCCAGTTTCCGACAAGCAAAGTCGATAGGAGAAGCTGGATTTACCAACTGTGACTTGCTTAATGAACGCAGTAAAAATTTGGTCCAGTCACATGACAACTTGCTTAAAAAGCACACAAGAGACCAAAATTCTAGTCCCAATTGTGGTTGTAAGTCACGGACTACCTGTAGTTACTCCGTTCTCTTATTACAATCTGGGGATTAATGTTTATTTATTTATATTATTTATTATTTATTAATAAAATTTATATGCCGCCCAATCCGTAGGGACTCAGGGCGGCGTACAAAATTATAGTTTAGCACTATAATTGCCAATTGTCATTTCCTATAAATCTAAATAATTGTCTTCTAGTTTTGGTTATTTAACCTTTTTTAAAGAAAAGGCTGAGCGCCAAAGAATTGAGGCCTTTGAACTATGGTGCTGGAGAAGACTCTTGCGAGTCCCTTGGAGTGCAAGGCGTTCAAATCGGTCAGTCCTAGAAGAGATCAACCCCGACTGCTCTTTAGAAGGCCAGATCCTGAAGTTGAAACTCAAATACTTTGGCCACCTAATGAGAAGGAAGGACTCACTGGAGAAGGGCCTAATGCTGGGAAAGATTGAGGGCAATAGAAGAAGGGGACGACAGAGAATGAGATGGCTGGATGGAGTCACTGAAGCAGTAGGTGTGAACTTAAATGGACTCCAGAAGATGGTAGAGGACAGGAAGACCTGGAGGAACATTGTCCATGGGGTCGCGATGGGTCGGACACGACTTCGCAATTAACAACAACAACAAACCTTTTTTCCCTCAGTCGTAAAAGCCAAAGCAATTGGGAATTCTGGGTTTTGTAAACCCGGCAACATCTGGCAACAGCTGGATCACAGAAAAATACAAAAGATAGGAAGCTGCAAGGCAAATATATTTTACTTTATTCTTCAAAATTAGAAAAGAATTCAACCATGGAAAATTAGGTTTTTATTTACTGCCAGGTCAGTGTAATTCCAGTCCATCTTACATTTTGAATAGTGATGGTCAATCTGACAACATCAGAAAAGAGATTAAAAAGGAACCGCGCTCCGTGCAGCTGCATTTGTGATCTTTCAATTAAAAAGCTCCCTTTCTCCTCTCCTCTCGCTTGCAATTATGTAGTGACACGTTAGGCTGATCAATATGCTATTTGTTATTTCTTTGTGCCAATAGCCTTTACAGAACAACACTGCACTAACAAAGCTACTGCAACAATCCGATGCAATGTCATGTAGGGAGTATTATTTCAGACTCACACTTCCTACTACATTGTATTTCAGATCCTCTGAATGCATTGCAGTTCTACACCAGCAAGCTGCTAAACGTACAAACTTTGATCATTAGGGCCGGTGGTTGTTCCAGATGATGGACAACGCTGTCCTTTATTCATCCCAATTTCTTTCCACACATATGGCCCCCCTTTTTGAAGATGTTTAGATCAGAAATTCCCACTACATTCAGCAGAACGTCCTCCAAGAAAACACGTAAGTTGCGATGAAAGAAAGAATGGCTTAAAGGGAGGAAACAGCAACGCAATCCTAAAACACGTAAAGAAATAGGTCTAGTTTAGGTGCTAAGGAGATGGGGGGGGAAGGGAGGATAGTAGAAAGATAGATAACATAGATAGATAAACAAACATTTTAACTTTAACATTTTAATTCTTATATACTATTTTATATTTTGATGCCCCTCTGAAGGAGCTGGGCAGTTCGGAAATGCAAAATGTAAATAAAAAAATTAAAAATAAAAAAGGGAAGAAGGAAAAAGGGAAGGAAGGAAGGAAGAAAAAGAAGAAAGAAAGAAAGAAAGAAAGAAAGAAAGAAAGAAAGAAAGAAAGAAAGAAAGAAAGAAAGAAAGAAAAGAGAAACATTTTAACTGTAACATTTTAATTCTTACTGTTTTATATTTTGATGCCCCTCTTTGAAGGAGCTGGGCAGTTCAGAAATGCAAAATGTAAA